GTTCGGCGTGAACTGCTCCGGATCCTGCTCCTGTGTCGCAGCACCCTGTCACCGGGTCACCGGGCAGTGCCTGTGTCCACCGGGGAGGACGGGGGAGGACTGTGGGGCAGGTGAGTGGGCCCTCCTCTCTGGGGTACTGACTTGGGGTGCCTGGTCAGGGCTGGCCCGGAGGATGCAGCCCTGAAGACATGATGCCCCTGTGCAGGAGTTTCAAGCACTCACCCTGGACCGAGCCTGGGCGTGGGAGGGTGCTGTGGCCTGGGTACTGTGGCCCTCCCGGCCTGGGTGGCCAGTTCCCTGCACGGAGTCTCCTAGCCCCTCGCGCAGTTGTCCATATTGCTTGATGAGCTGTCCTCGGCTGAGGCGTGGGTCTGGGGGTGTGGGTGAGCGTCCTGCAGTCCTGGGACTCTAATACTCCAGCCTGCCCCTCCTGTGGGCAGCCCTAGAGGGGAGCAGTGGTTTCCTCCTGGGCCACGGCACAGAGGCTTTCAGTGCCCAGTCAGGGCAGAAGGGGAGACTGACTAGCCCTGGGGACACCAGATTGTCCCGAGGGCCGCTGGGGGCTCGGCTGCCAGGAGATATGCCCTGCGTGCGAGCACGGCGCCAGCTGCGACCCCAGGACGGGAGCCTGCCTGTGCCTCCCGGGCTTCGTCGGCAGCCGCTGCCAGGACGGTGAGTGTGGCCCACACCGACCTCAGCCTCAGCCTGCCGCGCCGGCGCGGGTGCGCTGGGTGCCACGTTTGCCCTCTCTGCCGCCCACAGCTTGCCCTGCAGGCTGGTTCGGACCCAGCTGCCAGAGGAGGTGTTCTTGTGCCAATGACGGTCACTGCCATCCAGTCACCGGGCGCTGCAGCTGTGCCCCCGGGTGGACTGGACTCAGCTGCCAGAGAGGTACCTGCCCCCCCCCAGCCTGCCCCTCATGCCGCCACCTCTCCCTGCCCTGTCCCGGGCTGCTCAGGGCCTTGATCCGGCCGTGGTGGCGGGGAGATCTGGTGGGGTCTGCTCAGGATGACACTGTGCACTCTTGCAGCCTGTGACAGTGAGCACTGGGGCCCGGACTGCGTCCACCCCTGTAACTGCAGCGCGGCCCACGGCCACTGTGATGCCGCCAGCGGCCTGTGCCTGTGTGAGGCTGGCTACGTGGGCCCCCGGTGTGAGCAGCGTGAGTCCTAGCCGGCTGCCAGCCACACCCCACCCCACCCCCGCTGCCCGGTGCACAGGGCATGCGCGTGCAAACACAAATCACACTCCATGCACACATGGGCACGTGCACTTGCACGCTCGTGTACAGAGGCACGTGTGCACCTGTCTTCCTGTCCCCATCCGGAGTTACCCCAACGGGTAGGGAGAGGGTGGGCTCAGGCCAACTTGTCTTAGAAGTCGGTAAGATCCGAGACCTTCCAGAGCCTGCCTGGGACTTTAAGGACCAGGTGCCCCCTCTGGTAGGGGAGGGGCCCTGTTGCGGGCTCTGGTCCCTGGCTGATGGGGCCGGGCTGTCTCAGGGTGCCCCCAGGGCTTCTTTGGGCCTGGCTGTGAGCAGCGGTGCCAGTGTGAGAATGAGGCGGCCTGTGACCACGTCAGCGGGGCGTGCACCTGCCCCCCCGGCTGGCGGGGCAGCTTCTGTGAGCGCAGTAAGTGGGCGCAGGCCAGGGATGGGCCCGGGGGCTCCTGAGCATAGCAGGGGTCCCCGGTCACCGTTACGTCCGCCCACCCGCAGCCTGCCCCGCCGGCTTCTTTGGGTTGGACTGCCTCAGCGCCTGCAACTGCTCCGCGGGGGCCGACTGTGACCCGGTGAATGGCTCCTGCATCTGCCCCGCCGGCTGCTGGGGCCCCCGCTGCTCCCAGGGTGCGTGAGGCTCCGCTCGGCCCGGGTGCCGTGGGGAGAGGCTCCCGGGCTCTGGGGGAGGGGGCATCCTGGGTGTCCAGGGCTTTGCCCCTGAGAACCCCAGGGCCCGTCCCCAGGCCGAGTTTGGGGGGGAAGCTGAACAGATGCCCCGCAGGTCCCTGATGCCCTTTCTCCCCCTGCAGCCTGCCCAGCCCTCACCTACGGGCTGAACTGTAGCCAGGCCTGCAGCTGCTCCAACGGGGCCTCCTGTGACCCAGTCCACGGGCAGTGCCACTGTGCGCCTGGCTGGACGGGGCCCTCCTGCCTGCAGGGTAAGCCCTGCCGGGGGTCCGGCCTCCAGGCCTCGACTGTGGCCTCTTGCTGGGTCTGCGTGGGACACTGGGCAGTGGGTGCTGGGGTGGACACGACTCAGCAGTTGCCAGGGCGGGGCTGGGCGTGGACTCCCTGGGTCCCTGATCCTGGGGAGTGGGGCACCCTTCGGTGCTGCAGAGCCAGGTTGGTGGGCTCCAGCATGGGGCTGGGGTCGGTCATCAGCTGTGGGTGAGCTCCCTACCCCAAGCCCTGCGCTGTGGAGGGGTGCTGGGAGCCTGTGTCCCCCGAGGGACCATGCTGGTCAGAGGCTGTAGCTTGCTTTCTCTTCCTGGCTCCAGCCTGCCCGGCTGGCCTCTACGGGAAGAACTGCCAACACTCCTGCCTTTGCCAGAACGGAGGGAGCTGCCACCCCGTCCTGGGCCACTGCACCTGCCCCGAGGGCTGGACCGGCCTGGCCTGCGAGAATGGTGGGCTGCGTCAGGCCGCAGACAGAGGGCTGGTGGGCCAAGACAGGCTCTGGGCCAGAAGACAGGGTTCTGGGTGTGGGTTCACAGCTTGGTCCCCACGTTCACACGGAAACGCAGGCCCCGGTTTGGGAAGCTGGGGCCGGGGCCTCCTGGGCTCCACACACGGAGCCTGTCCTCCCCCTCTCCCCGCAGAGTGCCTCCCAGGACACTCCGGAGCCGGCTGTCAGCCCAGCTGCGCCTGTTTCCACGGGGGTCTGTGCGACTGGCTCACCGGCCAGTGCCTCTGCCCGGCTGGCTGGACTGGGGACAAGTGCCAGAGCCGTGAGTGGGGGAAGGGGGGGCGGGAGGCCCAGGGCTGGTCCTCACAGAGCCACCAGCAGAGGGGCGGGGTGGGGGCAGGGCAGGGCAGGGCAGGGTCTGGTGTCGGAGCTGCCCAGCCTGTGGGCCTAGAACGCCAGCCTCGGGCTGGGGAGTGCTTGCCTCTGCCCTGCTCTGGAGGGGGGTTGGTGGGGAGAGAGAGGATCTGAAGCCGTGTGGACTGAAGCCTGTGGTGTGTAGGGCACCGTCTCGGCTGAAGCCCTCTGCTCAGGGAGCCTGGTTATCCATCCAGGCCCGGAGCCCCTTCAGAGCCTGGACGGGTGGGCATGGAGGTGGACCCAAGTCTATCCTGAGTATGTGGTGGTGGACGCTGGGGCGGCCCCAGGCAGGCTGGTCCAGTGGTCTTCACGCTTTACTCCCGTGGCTGGGCCCTGCCTCCTCCGAGTCCCCGGGGTCCTGCGCCGCGGCCCAGCCCCTGCCTGCCTTCCTCCCGCAGCCTGTGCGCAGGGCACCTTCGGGGCTCGCTGTGAGGAGCGCTGCGCCTGCCGGCGGGGGGCTGCTTGTCATCACGTCACGGGGGCCTGCCTCTGTCCCCCAGGATGGCAGGGCTCACGGTGTGAGCATGGTGAGCCACCCCCACCCCCCACCCCCGTGCGGCACCTGGGCTGGGTGGGGCGGGTCCTATGCCCTGGGCCCCGCCGCCCCCGGGGCCTTCCTGCCCCAGTCAGTCACGGCCTTCCTGCAGGCTGCCCGCACGGCTGGTTTGGAGACGCCTGCGCCCAGCGTTGTCACTGCCCGCCCGGGGCCTCTTGCCACCACGTCACCGGGGAGTGCCACTGCCCGCCTGGCCTCACGGGGCCGGGCTGTGAGCAGGGTAGGTGACCCCCAGCTTCTGCTCCACCCGCGGCGTCAGCCGGTGGGCCTCCTGGAAAGCTGCTCACTTGGGAGGCTGGGCCGGGCCTGACCCCACTTTGCCTACATCCAGCCTGCCAGCCTGGCACCTTCGGAGAAGGCTGCGGCCACCTGTGCCAATGTCCCGGAGAGACCTGGGCCTGCCACCCCACCACGGGGACCTGCACGTGTGCTCCTGGCTACCACGGCCCTGGCTGTCAGCAGCGTGAGTGCTGCCTGTGCTCTGGGGCCGGGGTTCTGCTGGGCGCCATCCCGAGGGGCTCCGCGGAGAGGGGGAGGCGGGAGGTGGGGCGCAGGAGCTGTGTGCTATGCGGTGGGGAGCCGTGGCCGGCCTCTAGCAGCCCAGCCCTGGCAGTCGGACCTCTCTCCTTCCAGGATGCCCTCCTGGGCGCTTTGGGCCAGGCTGTGCGCACGCGTGTGGCTGTCTCCACGGAGGCCTCTGCGATGCGGCCACCGGAGCCTGCGCTTGCCCCGCCGGCTTCCTGGGAGCCGACTGCAGCCAGGGTGAGCGCGGTCTGCAAGGCTGGGTGGCTCATCATGCGTCTCCCAAGAGCAGGGTCTGGGCACGGACGGGAGGCGGTGCTGACCTCGCCCCCTGACCGGGCGTGCGGCACTCCCGGGCTGAGTTGAGCTGGGGTGGTGGAGAGAGGGCATCCACGCCACCGTGGCCTGCTCCCCCCCGCTCTCCGGCCAGCCTGACCGGTGTGGGCTGCCCTCGGCCCATTTGCCCCAGCCATGTCTGCCAGGGGCTAGAGCAGGGCTGGGCAGGGGCCAGGCTGGCTGCTAGCGGTGGCGCGGCTAGCTGCAGCTGAGTGTGCTAGCTTCCTGCCAGAGAGGCCTTTCCCCTGAGTCATGGGGACTTCCCTGTCTGGGGCCCAGACAGCTGGGGGTGACTGTGAGTCAGGACAGCGCTGGCCCTGAGCGCACCCGCCCCCCCAGAGCCTGCAGTTGGATTGAGAGGCTGGGGAGGGGGGGAGGTTTGTGCAGATGTGGAGCTTTCCCGCCCCGGGCCCATCCTGTCCTGTCTCCCAGGTGTGCCTGTCAGGACCCACTCACCCGTCCCCTCCCCACAGCCTGTCCTCAGGGCTACTTCGGCCTCAACTGTGCCCAGGTGTGTGCGTGTGGGCAGGGGGCAGCCTGTGACCCCGTGACCGGCACCTGCCGGTGCCCCCCAGGGACGGCAGGAGCCCACTGTGAGTCTGGTGAGTGTCTCCTGGAGGGAGTAGGCGCCTTCCAGTCACTGAGCCACCACAGAGGCCCATGGGGCCGGTTTGTTCCTAGGAGCCATTCTGAATTCCCCAAGGGACGGGGTGGGGTGGCGGGTAGGGGTCTCAGAGGTGGCACTGTCACTGTGCGGTCTGGGTAAACCATTCTCCTCCCCTCCCCCAGCCCTGCCTCTCCCAACCCGGCCCCTCACGCACAGGCTGAGCATGGGTTCTGACCAGGGCCCCTCCCGGCAAGGGGGTGGGGTGGCTGGAGCCGGATCATCTCCTGGAGCGCCCCCCCTCCCCCCCCTGGCCCTCTGTGCCAGTCCCAGGCAGAGGGGACACAGGAGCGCAGGCAGAAGGGCAGGCTGGGACAGGGACGGCAGCTCACAGCCAGGACGCCGCCCCTGGCCACACCCCAGTCCCGCAGCCCTGCCTCTCCCAGGTTCCTCATTGAGGGGCTGAATTACCGCCCCAGGTGCTCAGCCTGGGGCTTCCGGGAACCCGAGCGGCCAGGGGGCAGAAGCCCAGGTCCAGCCAGGATCAGGCCCAGCCCTGCCGCGCTTCCAGGCTGGGCTCCACTGTGGATCAGGTTATAAGTGAGGGTCACTGAGGGGCCCGGGTCCCTCGCGCCCATTCCCGGGCCTGAGCTCACGCCACCACGCCCAGACAGCTCCCCAGCCTGTCCTGCTGGCTCCCACGGGTGGTTCTGCCGGAGTGACAAGTGCTGGCAGCCCCCAGAGGGCCATCGTCCCCTTTGTCTCTGAGTGACCCTCGGCCCCGACCGTGGGCGGCTGGAAGCGCTGGGTGAGCCGTGAGACCCGCACAGTGCCCCCCTGGCCCGTGGGCCGGGTGGGCGAGGTCAGCACCGGACACTTCAGTGTTTGCTGAAGGAGCGTCAGCCCGTGCTCGGCCATGCCCCCGGTGCGTGTCCAGCCCGGCCAGAGCTCTGAACAGCACCGTCCCGCTCCCCAGGGTGTCCCCGGGGCCGGTTTGGCCAGGGCTGTGCTCACGAGTGTGACTGCAAGAACGGCGGCTGGTGTCACGCGGGCAGCGGCCACTGCTCCTGCCCCCTGGGCTGGACTGGGCCTCACTGCGAGCAGGGTGAGTACGGTGGGGGGGGGGGGCGGAAGGGCAGGAAGCCTGAGTCCTGCCAGTGCCTGAGGGACTGTCTGTGTCCAGCCTGCCCCGTGGGGCGCTACGGTGCGGCCTGCGGCCTGGAGTGCTCCTGCCGGAACGGGGCCACCTGTGAGCCCGCCACGGGCACGTGTCGCTGCAGCCCCGGCTTCTACGGACAGGCCTGCGAGCACCGTGAGTCCACGCCGCCCCTGTGCCGCCCGGCCCCCGTCTGGCCTCGGCCTCTCAACAGCTACGTCTGTCACACGGCTGAGGCTGGGATGTGAGGGAGCTGGCCGGGGAGGGCGGGGGGGGGACGCAGACACACAGCCCCCCCCCAGCCTGGTCCCGCTCCCCCTGGGAAATTGGGGGCTTCCCGCTGCTTCCTGCTCTTGGCGCTCACTCCCTGACCCACTGTGCCCTCAGCCTGTCCCGCTGGCTTCCACGGAGATGGCTGCCAAGGGGTGTGTGAGTGCCGGCAGGGGGCCCCGTGTGACCCGGTCAGCGGCCGGTGCCTCTGTCCTGCGGGCTTCCAGGGCCGGTTCTGTGAGCGGGGTGAGTCTCCGGTTCCCCCGCGGGCCCCCAGCTGCCCTCTCACAGCCGGGCAGGGGCCGGGGACGCTGAGCCCGCTGTCCCCGCAGGGTGTGAGCCAGGCTTCTTCGGAGAGGGCTGCGGGCAGCGCTGTGGCTGCGACGGAGGGGGGCCCTGCCACCCCACCACCGGCCTCTGCCTGTGCCCGCCAGGGCGCACGGGAGCCGCCTGTGAGCTGGGTGAGTGGGGGCTCTGTCCTGGGGCGGGGCCGTGGGGTCGGGAGCCGTCTGACGGGGGGATCTTGCCTGGGATGGGGTGTGGGCATGGGTCCCCTGTCAGCGCACATCCATCCTGTGGGGTACGTGTCCCTGTGGCCTGTGGTTCCCATGCTGGACCCAGGTGTTCCATGGAGAGCCCGCTGGGCTTCAGCCCTGGCCGGACCAGGCTCTGCCCGCCAGCCGCCCACGGTCCTGCCAGTGTCTGCTGCCACAGTGGTACCTCTGCCCTGGAGGAGACCTGGGTGGGATGGAAAGCTGTCCTGGGCCCATCGACCACTGGTGGGATTCCACATGGAGGGACAGTGGTCCTTCCAGACCGGGAGGCCCACGGGAGGGGCAGGCCAACCTGAGGGGCAGAGCCACCGGAGGGGGTGGGCCAGCCAACCTGAGGGGAGGGGCCACTGGAGGGGTGGGACCACTGGAAGGGGGCGGGGCATCCTGCTGGGCTTTGCCCTCAGCCTTGTGACCACCTGGCCTCTCCAGCCCTGGGAGCCAGAGTGGCCATTGCCACCAGGCTTCCGTTTGCCCATCGAACCACTGGCAGGGACGCAGGGGGCGATTCTGGGCATGCGCCATTGCCTGTGCCCTCCCGTGCCTGAACGCAAGGACACAGATGTCTTTGAGGGAGACAGGGCAGAGATGGCGGCAGGCCGCAGGGAACTGAGGCCCCCGGCCCTCCTCCGCTCTCCGCCGTGGCCCGTCCAGCCCCGTCCCGCTCATGTGTGCCCCGCAGAGTGCAGAGCGGGCCGCTTCGGGCCGGGCTGTGCCCTGCGCTGTGACTGCAGAGGAGGCGCGGACTGCGACCCCGTCCACGGGCAGTGCCGCTGTGTGGACGGCTACACGGGGCCCACGTGCCAGGAAGGTGAGCCGGGCCGGGGTGGCGTGCGCCTGCCGCCGCTGACACGCCGGTGTTACCACATGACCCGAGCCAGGCCAGGAAAAGAGCCTCAGCCTTCCTGCCGGCCACGCGCGGTGCCCAGAGTTCCTTGTGGGAGCAGCATGAGCCCCTCAGCCATCCTAGTGCAGGGCCGGGTGGGCTACGCGGCCGGCCTGAACTGCCCTCAGCGCTGATGGGGCTCACAGATCACAGATGGCCCCCAGCGCATGGCCAGAGGCCGGAGCCACCTGCAGGCCTGTGTGTGTGTGTGTGTGTGTGTGTGTGCACCCCTTTGCAGGGGTACACCCGGGTAACCGTGGGTACCAGTGGGGATGTGTGCTCCAGCTGCAGGCGGAGCCGGGGAGCTGACCCGTGCCAGCTCCCCAGCAGTGTGCTGCGGCGTTGGGCGGGGTCTGCAGAGGGAGGAGGTGGGTGGCTCCGTGTGGACCGTGTGAGGTGGGACATGAGGACAGATGAGGACACGGCTGGGATTCCCGATCTGGGTCCCCGGCTTGGAGGCCGGGTGCTGTGTGTGTGTCTTTCTGAGTCTCAGGCTGTCCTAGACGCAGGGTCCAAACTTGGAGGGCCCCTTCCTGCGGAAGGGCATAATGCTGCCCACAGCGCCACCCAGTGGCCCAGGGTGGTAGTGCACCACCGGGCACCCCCTGAGCAAAGCCAGTGTTATTTAGTAGGTCTCAGGTGTGCCTGGGTGGGGACTTGCTGGTTGGGGGTCCTGGGCCCACCTCCTGCCCTGCGGTGGGCTTGGCTTGGCTTTGAGGATGAGCCTTCCATAGTCAACTCAGAGCTCTGCTTTCACCCCGGGAACTGTCACTCTGGGGAGCCTTGCATGGAGTAAGGTGGAGGAGATGGACTGTGTGGGGGCCTGGCTTCTCTGTGGCTGGGGCCTGAGCTGTGCCTTCCCCTTGCAGGCGGGCCCTCCCGGCTCCCCGAGAGCCCAACCCCAGCTCGAGGCTCAGGTAAGGGATGGCAGAGCGCATTGGCGGGCAGAGGCTGGAGGAGCCCCGCGGCAGAGGGCTTTCTTGATGCCCGAGCCCTTCAGAGCCGGGCCTTGGAGGTGGAGCCAGGCAGGGCTGAGAGGATCAGGCTGGGCAGCTGGGAAAGGAAGAGATACCAGCCTGAAAGCTGGCCGTTACAGAGAACCAACCCCCCCCCCCAAGCCTGACCCTCTCCTCTCCTCCCGTCCCCTGTGGCCACATGGTCAGCCTCCAACAAGACTGTGAAGCACCAGCCCAGTGGTCCATCTGCCTCAGAGCCACACCTCCCCGCTGCAGCCTGAGCCAGGCCTCTGGTGTCCACCGAGGAGACGCATGGACCCCGCGTTCCTGGCCCGGCCCCTCGATGGCTGTGGATTTCTACAGTTGTGGATCTGCCCCGGCCCTGTGGCCTTCAGGAAGGAGGCCACGAGAGACCCCTCATGTGGCCACAGGGACTCAGAGGAGTAGATTGGCGCTCGGCCACCTCATCTTCACCGGGAGCCCCGCAGGCTGTTTTGAGGAAGGCCTGGCCGCCCTGGCCCTGGCTTGGACCAGAGACCATGTGGGGCGGGGGGGGGGGCTCCATCCGAGCCGAGCAGATCCTTTTGGTGCTAGACCCTGGACTGCGGCAGCTGGCCATCTCCAGCCTGTATTTATGTAGATGATGATTTACGGGCAGCCCCACTGGCCGCGCAGCCCGAGGCCTGCACTCAGGTGGTGGAGCCCGGAGGGCCTCCGGGAGGCGGGCTCGACTCCTGTAAAGCCTGGCCAGTTAAAGGTGTCCTCTTGGCCCGTGTCTTTGTGTCTAGTCTTTCCCAGATCCACCTGGATAAGAACCTCACCAAAGTCCCCCACCCCCCCACCCCAGGCATGAAGCTGCTCAGGCCAGTCCAGGCGGAAGCCGATAGGCCTGCAGAACACCTGGTGCCCGGAGACCTCAGGTGTGGCTGGTGCAGCAGAGGTGGTGCTCGGGAAGGAGGGCCCCAGGAGAGGAGGCTGGGGCGGAATGGAGGCAGCCAGGGTGGAGGCTCCAGGGTGGAGGCTCTGCACACCTCTCCAGGCTTATTCCAACCTATGCAGCAGTGCCAGTAGATAACAGGGCCGGAGCCAGAGGCTCCCTGGGTGAGACAGGCCAGCCCCCCCAACCCCCATTGTACAAGGCTGGTGCCGGCCAGAGAAGCGATGCCCAGGGGCATGGAGTGTGGGGGGGACTACTCAGAAAGGCGGTGGTGAGCGGGCATCGGTGACTCACGCCTATAATCCTAGCTACTCAGGAGGCTGAGATCTGAGGATCGTGGTTCAAAGCCAGCCCAGGCAGGAAAGTCCGTGAGACTCTGATCTCCAATAAACCACCAGAGAACTGGAAGTGGCGCTGTGGCTCAAGTGCTAGAGAGCTCGCCTTGAGCTGAAGAGCACAGGGACAGTGCCCAGGCCTGGAGTTCAAGCCCCACTACTGAAAAAAAAAGCAAGCAGCTGGTGCCCAGGGGCATGGGGTGGGGCCGGGTGGGGCCGTCGAGGTAGCTTCTGGACAGCAGGCTGGGGTGGACAGCGAGGAGGCACTGGGTAGCGGGACACGGCCTGAGACCCTGCTCCCTGTCCCGCATGGCCAAGGCCCCGCACATCTGGGATTCCCTCCCCCCCCCCCGTTCATGCCAGCAAAGGTAGCTGGCAGCCCTGTGGCAGAGAAGGCCCCGGGCAAGGATGAGGGCTCAGGACTCTTCAGTAGGGGACACGGGGTCGGCCTGCAGCGCGGGAGCT